TTTTATTGCTATTTTTAGCTTAAATATTTGTAAAAACAATTATAAGATTGTGAGAATACGTGCCTTTTATTTTCTTTGAGGATATTTATTTATAATAAACTCACATTGCACAGTGGTTCCCAGATATATCATTACTTAGAAATATTAATTTCAAAATGTTTGCATGAAACTGTTGCTAATACTTTTCTTATATTCTCCTGTAAACGATACATAATAAATAACAAAATCAAGTAAGCCTAGTGTGGCGCTTTTTTTTATTAGAAATGTCACATTTTTGCTACTGGTATCAAGCTGACATAAACAGTTTTCAGATAACGCCAATTAATTACTTATTTTATTAAAATTGATAAAAGCTGTTGCCTTTTCTGTAATGTACGTTCGAAAAGAAGGTAAAAAGAACTGTTTTTTTTTCTTTTTTGTACTTAATTAAACCTAAGTAATATTAGTTTATGGCAATTTATTTGAAGGCAACAAAAATAGTATTTTTACATTTTTGCTTGTCACTCTTTAAAACTTTTAACTACTTTCCCGTTCAAATCCTCTTAAACGGCATGAAAATACTTGTTGCTTAAAGTATATTGCATATAAATTAATTGCCACTGGCTGCCGCGAATTGCCGCCGGATCCTATACCGGGTGGTTAAAGATTGACTTATGACTATGTCTATGTCTTAAAATAAAAGTAACTTATTTTTTCCTTTTCGTGTCAACTTATTTCGTGGACACACATATCTTATATCAATTGACAATAAAATTGTATTTATAAAATGAAACAACTGTCTCTTATTTTTTCAACATTTAAAATAAATTTGACTTCTTCAATATGAAAAAACATGTACATATGTGCAAACACAATCTATATACCTTTCCGAATAGTTAGAACTTAAAAATGCAAATCACACGAATTGGACCCAACTTTTTTAATACATATTACATTAAGTTTTTTATATACATTTATTTAGCATTTGTTATCAATTTCTATTAAAAAGGTGCAGTCAAGCTATATCTAGATATATAACAGTTATGACCGCGCAGCTAATTAAGGGGAACCACTGTGCATTGGGCCAATGGAGTATGTTCATCCGAATTAGTTACCGATTCGGTTTGAAACCGTCAACAATATAAGAAATAATAATTGACAATAATGTAAGGCAATTAATAATAACATATTGTTTGCAGTAAGTATTTGTGAATGAAAAATAATAATCCCATTCTAATGGGTTCAGCCAAGTTTGCTGCAAAGAAAAACGGAGGGAGAATTTACAGTCTCTATCCGCATTTAATTAACAATGATAAAAAAATTATACGATTTTTTTACTGAACAGGAAGCAAAGAAGCTGTCACACTATGGTTGCGTGTCGTTTTCAAGCTCAAAACTCGATTTTTAACGATAATATGAATGCACAAATATATTTTTTACTTGATAATATTTTACCAGACCGAGAACGAATTGTGATCAGCATTATAGTGTAAAGGTACGCGCACACTGACCAACGCCGCAGGAATGGCACTTTTTTTTCTTGTCGCGCACACTGACCCGTACCGAACGCGCCGCACTCCCCGCATTATTCGCTCTTTTGTTTCTTTTTGCCCCGCCTACACCCGTATTTGCCAAACCAATTTCTCATCAGTCGCTTCCGGAGTCCTATCTGCAATGATAAGCGTGTTTCTTTAATATTTCTCGACAATGAATGACAACGAACAAGAAATAATTATGAGCTCCTTGTTAATAGAAGAAGAAGAAATCACGAGAAAGAATCGAAAGTTATAAGTTCACAATATTGGCAAAAATCCACATTATTTCCATATTTAATTGTGGACGAACTAAAATTTTTTTAATATCTCAAAATGAGCCATGAAAAATTTGCGAATTTTCTTAGCATATTGAATTTCTAATCTCCTTTTCAGCTAGTTCGATTCGGCTACCCACGTAGAGTGGAAGGAATTGCGTGTGACGTCAGCAGCACTAGCCGCACTGACCGAAAATCATTCTCTCAACAATGCTAGCCGCATTTTCGTCGATGCAATTCGTGCGGCTCTGGCTAGTGTACGCGTGCCTTAAATCAGCCCATATTCAAGAGATATCCGACCTTAACCTCTAACCGGCGTGAATGGGCGGTGCTTCCCAACCATGTCCCAACAGATTTTCCATCATAGATGAAGGCGTAATTATTTTACACTCTTGAATAACAGCACGACAGAGTTCTCTAGACGTTCACTCGTCCACATACCTTCATCTTCTCACGTAGCGACGTAAAGGTAAAGGTAGCGACTTTGGTTAGGTTAGATCGATGGGCAATAATAATATTTAACATTTCAACTTTAAAAAAACTGCTTCAATATTTGGTGGTTGTGGATAAATACATACACCAAGTCGATTCCAAACATATGCCTATATATATATATTTGTTTTTTATTTTTAGTTCTAATAAAGAGGGTGGCCCAGGCAAATTATATTATTCCTAAACATCTGAGAAAATGTTGCCGAAGATTTGGTATATTCGTCCGAAAGTACTCTGTTTTAAAATACAATTTCTCTCTATCTCTCTCTCTCTCTCTCTCTTTTCAAGTATAAAAACTTTAGGAATAGACATTACTCAGGAAGCATCCTGTATATTCAACTGCCTTTTCAGACACATTTTAATTAAAATACCCGACTCTCGTGTAAGATTTTGATATACCTTTGATATTAATTAAGCAATAAAACACGTATATTAGTCCATTTTTAATGTATTTTTAATTTCCTGTTATAGGTAACTAACAGTATACTTGTAACAAACAAAGAAGTATAAGAAACATTTAGGAAAGATTCGTTGTAGTAAAAGAAATTGCTTTTGTTCCTATCTTTTCATCTTACACCAGCGATCACCTAAACAGGCTTAGAACGTTGAAAAAAACTACACTCGAAATAATAGTGGTAACTGAACGTATATTTTTTTCGATACATCTTAAATAAATAATAAATCTTTCCGTCAATCTAAAAAGTCTACCAATTCTTAACAATATTTATTTATACGCAGTAGTGTTAGTACTACCAAGCATCTCTAATAATTATTTACCAAAATGGTCTTTTTCATTCTCGTCTATTATACAGTGTTGCCAATAAAATCAGCATCAAACGTGATTCTTATGATAACGATTATTCGGTCATTCAACGTTACATCATATATATTGGCGAACTCTTTCTTTCACGTAGGAATTGAATGAAATAGATTGTTGGCGTCATTATGACTGTCAGTCCATTCTTTTGGTTATAGGCTTGGTGCATTCTCCGTCGGTCATATATTTATAAAGTAACCCGCCGGTGCTGCCATCATCGGAGATTCCCGTAAAATATGACTTATACAAATCAATGACTAAAGAATACAAGGACATATAACACCCGAGACCAAATTGTTACTATGGCTCCAAACAGTGCCGTTGCCATATATTTTTCTTAACTTAGCTGCTTGAACGGATATTTATATTTTTGATAAATATTTTGACTACGCCTATGGTGTAGGCGGTGGTATCATACTAATTAATTACGAAAAAACGTATTAAAATGTTAACAAAAGGTACAAAACTAGTATCAACGATTAGCATATATCAAGTACATATAGTATCAGAAAAACAATTACCAAATTCAATAAGAAAACGCTAAAAAGGTGGAGTCGACTGTTTATTTACTTATGAAAAGCAACTCCTAGCTCTTTCTTATCATTGCGGCTTTTACACTTGAAAGCTGAACACATCACCATTGTAATAAAATTTATATAAAGTTCACTACACACAACTAATTATTAAAAATCGCTAAAATTGTCGCTGTTGACGAGGTGGTGACTCATCCGTAGGCTCCAATATGATGGCGTCTAACGTAACAAATTCTGCTGCAGCCGGTATATGGGCGTTACATGTTCTTGTATTCTTTAGGGTGGTTGTAACGACGTCCTGTCATCCTGCTGTTAAAACATAACAGCTGGTTTTAATATATAAAAATCAGTTGTTTTATTTTAACATCAGGATTACGGGAGGTCGTTGCAGCCACCCTTAGTCATTGATACAAATACACAAACTTAAATAACGAGTACACTAAAAATTTGTTATATAAGGTAAATATTTTGATCTTTGATCTTCAAAAGGTTTAACGCATATTATAATTTGTTATTCATTCACTAGAGCTCGATAGCGCTCAACTACTATAATTTCGGGACGTATTTGAATTTTTCAAAATAAAACAATATGAACTGATATCAGACACACCCTAAAACGTAACATTGAAAGATCGATGTACAGAGTAACTTTGTATAACTTTGTATTTCTGTCAAATACTGTTAAATGGTTGAATGTAAGTACTCTATATTGAATATAATTAGTAATTATATATTTGCATATTTTTCAACACAGTAATACGTGTAAAATAGTAAGTTCATGCTTCCGATCTTAGCCCTAACACTAACATTATTCAAACTCGGGGTTTTAAGAATTTTAGAAATAATATTTGACATATTGAATTTGACGGTATCAGTTTATCATAATAGCATCGTGTTTCAGATGGTTAGGTTAGGTCTAAATTTAAAAAAATTTTGAGAAATTTTAGTAATGAGCTGGAGTTTTCAGAATATACAGTAATGAAAGTGGTTATTGTGTTTAAAAGAATTATATTTAATGAAAATTTTTATGTTTCAGTCACGAATGTATAGAGACTTATTCTGCCGGATGCTGCCACCAGCGTAGGAGAGTGGAAAATCTGATTTTAAAGATTGTGAAAAAACTATTACGCATAAGACGGAAAATGATGAAAACTGATTTTTGTGGAAAATAAAGTATTAACATTTGATAGTTTCTGCAGCTAAGACTATATAGAATGTAGAACTTCTGCCCGTGATACATGACCACAGACAGTAGAGGGTATCTGGTATGACAGACAGGGTAGTCCCATCCGGCATCGTTATACATCTTGGTGCAATTCCCTGGCCACGATCCTGACACATGCTTGGGAAAGTGAAAGTAAGTAGTAAGTAGAAATTATTAATGTTTATTCACAAACAAGTAAATTGTATCATTTTAAAAATATATTCTTTTTCATTGTAATAATATTAGAAATTTTAAAAATATTTGTGAAGTTAGGTTTTAGGTTAGCTCAAAACATTCTTAAGATAAATAGAAGTATGAATGTATGAACAGAATTTCCTTAAGTTTTTAGGGTTAATGTTAAGAGTAAGGTTAGGACTAACACTCGAATTATGAACCCAGCATAACATTTTGCAATCCCCACGATCGATGCGGATTTTATCGACAACACTGTACACCCCGCGCGCTTCTTTTCATCTTTCTGACCTGTTCTAGACCATTAAGTATTAGTATTGTTGTATATCGTAGAAAGTACACATTTAAAGCTCGTTTTCAAGTGCGGCGGCGATCTCTAGTTGGATATGAAGGCCCAGCACTCGAGCGTCTTGACGACGAAGTCGATCTTGGGCGTGAGCGCGTCGTTGCCGTACGTTTTGCAGGACTCGGAGCGGCCGATGTAGAGGTCGCCATCCAACCACAGGCCGAACTTGCCGTCGCCCGCGCCTATGCTCAGCGACTCGTTGTTGCCCTTGATGAAGTAGAGGTTCTCGCCGGTCCAGTTGTACACCTGAAAGTGGGGCGTGAAGCGGAACAGCAGCGACTCGCCCGTGCCGTAGAAGTGGTCCGAGACGTGAAGGGCACAGGAAGTTAAAGCACCAAATACCTGGAAAATAAAGTAGACGTAATTTAGATTGAATCTTACAACTTAATGATCAAATAATGAGTATAGGTTCCGGATGGTGTATCAACGTTTGAAATACAGGAAATGCCATGCAAATTTTGAACTTTCTAAAAATTTGCTTCCCTAATAAGGATATAGGTAAGTATAACTATATGCTTGGTACATTTCAACCTTTGAATAAAAAGATTAAGGAAGGAGTATAATGCTATCAATGTATTCATGCATAATGGACGGAAAGAGGACTCTAGTTTGAGGATCCTTGACAGTTCTGTTTGACGATTCATTTGAACTGGATTTTAAATTTTGTGGATTTGTCAGTCTTTACTGAGCTTATTTTATGTCATTTACTATTTATTCTACTACTGATAGTTGTTTAGAGGTAGTAAATCTAGAAGGAAATTTTTTGTGGCACAACTTAAATTAACAATGACACTATTGCGATTTATCGAAAAAGACTGTAAAATGGTTGGTTGTGTAGCGTGCGGTAGATCTCGGTCAAAAATCGAGGGAAATAATGGATTAACTTTTCGCTAGTAAGTGACTTAAACATAAGTGTAAGTAAACCTATCATTTATGAAATTCACTTAAAATTAACTAATAATATATTTTTCTTGCATTTTTGCTTTTATTTACTACTTGTCAAAGAATTTAGATATGTTAATTTGACTTACCTGCTTCAGTAACGTATCGAATGTTTTGTGTTAATAAATAATTATTATAACTTATCGATTTTTATTAGAATTATATATTAACAATTTTAATAACTACCAACATCTATTGACAACGTAAAATAAAACAACAAATTGTTGAGTCTACCCCACGTCTACCCTACATCATATTTTTACATGTTATGAATAAAATTAGAATGGCATTATTTAATCTTTATGCTCCTTCCTTATTTTTTTTATTCAAAGATTTCAACCGATTTTTAAAAATTTCCACAGCAGCGCTCGCTACGATAGAAATCAGAACTGCCCAGTTAATTTATTTCACGCGGTCTCTGTTACCGTTTATGTTGATCACATTGAAATAATATTGAAATCGTGGCAATGTCATAATATTTAAGTATAGAATGTTCAGCCATCGTTCAACGTCACGTCATATAATGTCGCACCTTCTCAATCAATTGACAACCAGATAAAAAAGATTGGTGACGTCATTACGGCATTTCGTAAATTACTGCATATTCTTTTTAGTAATTGTCATTGTCATTTGATTTGGGGTTATAATTTTAATGACGGATATTGATCAATGTCAAAATTAAAAATCGATTGTTGCTGTCAAACAGAATTCAATCAAAATGCATCAAAAATGTAATCAAAATGAACAAGAGGTCATTGCTAAGCTTATAAATTATTTTTCTCGAGAAAGAGACGCTGGTTGAACACTCTTGCCCGTGGACACCGTATATGAAGTAAGTACAATGCAAAGGTGTAATATTCTTATGTAAAATACAAATTGATAGCGTTTTTAAATAATATAGCGAGTTGCTGATGTTTTAGGAATAGGAATTTCAACAGTCCACAGGATTAATTGAAATTAAAGGGATCGTAATTGATAAAGAGTTCAAGAAAAAATTAACAAATGCGGAAAAAAGCTACTGTGTGATCACTACCTGTCAAAAAACGAAACGAGTACATCACAGACAAAACTAAAATGACAGATGTAATAGATCGGGCAACACATCTGAATGGGACATCCCAGGACACATCAACCGAGTTAAGCTTGATTTTCATGCATCCGTTATCCGACGATACGATGACACGATATTAATTTTATTGGTTGAATTTAAAGACTTCGATTGGTTAGAAACGTTTAACCAATCAAAGCCTTTAAATTCAACCAATAAAATTAACATCGTATCGCCGTATTGTCGGACAACGGATGCATGAAAATCAAACTTGATTGAAAACAGCTTGATTTTCATGCGTCCGTTATCCGTTGATACGATCGATGGTCCGACGGCGTTCTGGTTGATCATAGCGTTTTCGCGCCACTTTTCAGCCGTACATTTTTACTCCAGCCCGTCAACGGAGAAAGATCGTACGATAACGGACGTTTTAACACTTTTGACGCATTTAATCTAACTTTAATAAAAACCATAATAGTACAAGAGCTGATAGAATTTTAAGAAAGCTGGTTCTTTAATATTTCTTTTGCTATGCTCTCCTGGCCAAAGTACTGACCGTCTGGCTGCCGATAGACTACTGCGGTTCATTACTGCGCGTCACATCTGTACAGGGTATCCCATTTTCGTGTGTTTTATGGAATTTCTGGTTTATGAGAAGAGATAAAATGATGAAATTTTCATATTAGTTTGCTACTTTTTTGTGAAACTAAATATGATACACATAGGTGTGTTCGAGTCTCCTTAGTTCCTGAAATACAGGGCGAATTTGTGATGCGTAGTAGTGAACAGGTGTTGAATACAGATATGATGCGCAGTAGTGAACGCAACGTCTACCGGCAGCCATGGCAGCCATACACTACGCTTTCTGTTCAGGAGAGCATAGCAAAAGATATATTAAAGAACCAGCTTTCTTAAAATTCTCTCTCTAAGTTGCTAGCTCTTAGACTATAAGTAAAACAGCGAAACCCCGTGGTGGAAATGAAAATATAAAATGACACCAATCACAAGCAAATCGTATATCCGATGATCGGAGGTATGAAAATGCAATAAGTTTAAAAACTGCGTAATTTTCTAACCGATCGAAGTGTTTAAATTCAACAAATAAAATTAATATCGTATCATCGTATCGTCGACAGATGCATGAAAATCAAGCTTAAAAGATAACAAAAAGAGGTGGAATAATAAATTGCTGCGATCGAGAGCGTGAGACGGCAGAAGAACACGGGATAGTCCTGTTGCACGCTGGTATAATGACATCAAAAAGGCAGCTGAACTAGCATGGATGAGATTTGCTCAATACAGGAGAAAAATGGAGAGGACTAAGGGAGGGATAATCTCAAGTCTGGGCGCCAGATGCGTATACTTACATTATTGTCAGTGTCTTCAATCACTAGTAAAATCGGCGACTCAAGCTTCGCCATTTTCCTGTACATACTGTTCAAACTGAAGCCGTGCTGGCTGGTGCTGAACACCAGTGTCCAAGCGTAGCCCTCCGCCCTGGCCGGTAGATGTCGGCACAGACATTCTCTGTGGTAGTCGGTGAGGATTTCTGTTTTGCCGATTAGATCGGGAGGGGACAGGTCGATATCCAACGACGAGGTCTCTTTGCTTTTGTAGGCCCTGCGAAATTCGTCAGACATAGGCAGCGCCTAAAGCAGAAAAAATACTTTAGATGGTTTATCAGTGAAGGGGTTATTGTTCCTGCCAGCTAAAGGGGGACTATAAAGCAGTTCTATGTTGTAAGCACGCTCGTGTACTGTAGATGTAGGTGGTAGTGAAAAGATCTGTTACAGTTCGAACAGTGAATAGTGGTAAAAATTGTTTCATTTTCTGTCTGGGACGCTCTTCAAGTAACTATTTGTAAAATTTTCTAATATTCTGACGCAATGTCTTTCCAAACTTGTTTACTTTGCATAAAACGATTTATAAAATAAACATTATTATACAGGGTCAGGCAATAATGCGTCAGGCATCTAAACAAAAAATAAAATAAAAAAACCTAACAATTTTGTTTAAGTGCAAACCTAAAGTGTATTAGGATGTATTTCAGGAAAATAATTAACCTCTACAGGATGACTCAAAAAAGTGTGAGTGGATCAGGATGATTTTTTTAAATGGAACACCCTGTATATTATTACATTTTTGGCTTCCTTTCTGATCACTTTGATCGTTAAGATATTTTTAAATAAGTTTTGATAGTTTCAGAGATATTAATAAATAAAAAAAATAAATATTTTTTCTTTAAATTATTAAAAATACAAGAACTGTCTTGATACCAAAACTATATTAGGTGTTTACTTAGATGGTCTGTACTTACTTTGCTATAAATATCCTAATCTTAATTGGGGGTGTCATCATACAGGGTGTTCAAAATTCTACGCCAAACTTAAATTACACCAATATAAAATAATTTTTCTTCGTTATTTTATATGGAACACCCTGTATATTATTCTTTTAATAGATGGAAAATTAAAAAATGAACTTTTTTTGTATTTAGAATATTTCGTAATTTCTAACGGATTCGCAGATACCTCGCGGTAATATTTCATATGGCTCTTTCAACGGTAAAATACGAGAGAAAAATCACTGGGTAGCTTTGATAAAAGTTTACTATGGAAAATGCCATATGAAATATAAAACCGCGAATATCTGCAAAACCGTTAAAAATGTTGAAATACTCTAAATAAAAAAAATGTTCATTTTTTAATTCTCAATTTACCAAAAAAATAATATACAGGGTGTTCAATTAAAAAAAAAACAAGAAAATTTATTTAGAATTTTAGAAAGTTTGGCGTAGCATTTTGAACGTTCTGTATGATTTAAGATTACGATATTTATAGCAAAGTAAATACAGACCATCTAACGTAAATACATAATATAGTTTTGATTTCAAGACATTTCTTGTATTTTTAATATTTTTTTTAAGAAAGGCTGAAAAATATATATTTTTTATTTATGTATTATATCTCTGACACTATCGAAATATATCTAATCATATCTTAGGATTATGTAAAGTGATCTGAAAGGAAGCCAAAAATGCATAATATACAGGGTGTTTCATTTAAAAAAAAATCATCCCGATCCACTCACACTTTTTAGCCACCTTGTAGAAGTTAAAACATTTTCCTGAAATACACCCTAGTACATAGTGTAGGTAGTAGGTTAGCACTTAAACAAAATTTCCAAGCTTTTTATTCTAGGAGCTACAGATACCCGACGCACTATTGCCGAACCCTGTATAGTCAGAATCGGCGCCCTCTATTAGATATGTAAATAGTCAACGTTTGACCTACATTTAAACAGATCAGCTGATTGCATTTTTAGGTTATCCAATATCCAGTTCATTTGAGAATTTACTAGAAATAGTAAACCTCTGACAAAACTAAAAAAATAGGCAAATGTAAGGTAAGTCTGTAAATAATTATACTTTTATTGTTCAAATAAAAATATCAATTATTTTGGTGTTTATTCACAAAAACAAGAGTGTGAGATAGAAAAACATAGTTTAAATTCTCCAAAAATAACCCTAAATAATTTAGATAGCATATGAATGTATTTTGTGCCAAACACACGTGGGCATTTAAGTGTAGGGCTGTCAAGAATCGCAGTGAAATGAAGTGTTGTTAAGTGTAGAGTTACGGTTTTAGGTAAAGTGACAAAACGACGCTCTAACCTAATTACATCGATATCTATCGGAGTCCCGTTTTCTAATATTAGGAAAGACTTTTACTTTTAATCTGAATTTTCCAAGTCGTTTTTAAATTTTTCTAGTGGAGGTGTCAACACTGAGCTTCGAACAAGCTGCGTTTCTGGTAATTGCTTGCTATTTGTGCCTGATTATCGATTGCTACCGGCGGCTCTCAAAATGTTGCCATTATTTTTTTTAAATTTCGAAGTTAAATAACTCAGTTACTATCAATTTATTTTAATAATGGTAAAGAGAAAATATATGTTTCTTTTGGCCAGAATCTACCACATAAAGAATAAACATGTTGCCGGCCTAAGAAACAGAAAACAACGAAACAAAATACTTCCACTTACTTGAAACATATGACACTCTTGTCAATATTAAGAAGCCCTTTTACCATCACTACCACCAACCTCTTAACAGTACAGGGACGGCGTCTAAACCTCTAGACTTGCATTCTTTTTTGCGCGAAATCGAGAAATACATCGAAGATAAAAAAACGACACAACAGCATACTTATTATCTTAATTAGAGTGGTTGTTGGACAAAGCACACATCATTTTCGGACCGCTTATTATTCGATATTTTTATGTCGCGCGCTTGTTAGGAGGAACAAAATAATTGGTCTTTAACGGAGATGGGACAGCGAAAAAAAAACAAACACACACGGGAGCCCGGCTTTATTGTGATTGCCTACTGGTCCGGGACCCGCGTTGTTTATTTTCGACGCAGACGACTTGAACGGTCGCCAAATAATCCACTATGGAAAAAGTCTATCGTATGGTGCGTCTATTTTGGAGTCCAGTTGGTCTTGGATTCGCTTTTATGTCTTTTGGCTATACTGTATTATTTTTTTTGATTCGTAAAAAACTACTCTATGGTATTACATATTTAAATATGATTAGCGCCACACAAGTGCTTCGTTTGTCCGTTAGAAAGCACAAAACTTTAAAAAAATAAACACATTTTTTAAGATATTTTAAGAACCGTTATTCCGATTTGAATGAGATTTCGGGTGACCTTGTTTTGCTAAGCACTTTAACATTTGACTTTGACAAAAAACAAGAAAAAGTACGGGAAAGGTGAAAACTACCCCAACTACATAAATTTTAGTAGAAATATTTTCTAACTCCACTGACGACTGACTTTTTGTCTCTTGCAAAAAACGCCAAATTGCATATCTTTTGAGAAAAAAAAATTGAGAAGTTTTTTCCAAAGCAGACCTACAAAATATACAGGTAGTTTCAATATTCCGTGGACATAGAACAACTACGTATTTGTTGAATCGAAGTAAGTTAATTGCACACAATTCTACACAAAAGTGCTTTGTTTGTCCGTTAGAGGGCATCGAAATCTCAAATAAAAAATAAACCCGAACGTTAGTTAAGAAATCTATAATTTATGAAGCTTATTGTCAAATATCATTTGTGATACTAACATAACATTCCATATTTTCGCCAAGTAGATTATTCGCACATACTAGATTTTATGCACCTATACAGGGTGTCCCAGAAATAAGTGCAAGTATTTTAAGGGGTGGTAGATATCGATAAAAGAAACATATTTTCTCTGTATCGTTTTTCAAAAATAAGTCCAAAATAACGGAGTTATTTTACTTTGAAAATTTCCAAAAAAAATTATTTTTTGCTAAAATTTTGAGAACCACTGGATTTTCTTACTTAAATTTAATCTAATACCTATGTTGCCGTATTATCAAGAAATTATGTTTTTTTAACTAAAAACCAAAAAAAAATTCCAAAAAAATTTTCCAAAAGATTCGAATTTTCAAAAATTTTTTTCGCGAAAAAAAACTCATAGGCGTGTTTCTGGGGTTGAACTATACTACCAGTTAAAATACTTGCACTTATTTCTGGGACATCCTATATAGCTTGGAGCGCCAAAAAAATAATTCTTGAAAGTCAGCTTCGGAAAAACTTTTTTTCTCAAAAACTATGCGATATCGTCGCAGGGCTGACTAACTGGAATTTAAATTTCCCGCTGGGATTTCAGGTGGTAGCTCTGCTGTATGAAGTGTAGAGGTAAGGAGAAATAGCTTCGTGCATTAAAAAATGGGGGTCATAAAAAGGGGAAGACTTAAGATGGCGCTGCTGTAGCAAAAACCTAAAATTTAAAATATACGCCGAAAATTTTTAGAACAGGAAATTATTAAAAAGAGATAAATATTTAACGTGAGGGCGCGGGTTTCAAAAACATACAAATTTTATTCTCATGTCACATGAAATAAATTTTTGATTTTTATTCAGCTGCAATAGACTGGGCCTCTAATATTAATATATAAAACTAATTGTTTTATATTCTAAGAAATAAAAAGAAAGTTTTTTAGGTAATGTTGTTTTAGGTTATGTTACTTTTATTCTCAAGGACAAAAATAACTTCTTAACCTAGCTGTTTGAAGAGATATTTATATTTTTTGATAAATGTTTTGACTAGACCTATGGTGTATACGGTGGTATCATACTAATTAATTACGAAATATTAAAAAAAAAACGTATTAAAATGTTAAAAAAAGGTACAAAACTAGTATCGACGTATAGCACACATCAAGTACATATCAGAAAAATAATTATCGAATTGAATAATAAAACTAAGAAAACGCTAAAAAAATGGAGCGGACTGTTTATTTACCTATAAAACGTAACTCCTGGCTCTTTCTTATCGCTGCTGCTTTTACACTTGAAACCTGAGCAATTAATCACCATTGTAATAAAGTTTATACAAAGTTCACTACACAAAAACTATTAAAAATCGCTAAAATTGTCGCTGGTGACCAGCTGATGACTCATTCGTTGCCATCAAAAGAATGGCGTCTGAGGTCACAAATTCTGCTGCAGCCCGTATATGGGCGTTACATGTCCTTATATTCTTTAGTTATTGTTTATTCTCTTATTTATGGTTTCATTTTTTAGATGTGTGTCATTAGCGTCACTGTGGTCATTTGGT